CCACGAAAGGGGGTTCTTCGATCCTGATCTTGAGTAGCAGCGATCTCTATTTGGAGATGTTGCGATCTCGATCTTGGATCACACCGATCACTATTTGTGTTCGGGATCGGGGTCTTCGCTGTGCGGAAACCTTCACTCAGCAAATAATAGTCCTGTGTCGATCTTGCCTCGGGATCGGTCCGATCTGGTCTTGGGATCGGCTGATCTTGCTGGAAGTGCGCAATTTGGGTAGATCGGTGTCTTGTTTCGCCAAAATGAAACGTGCCGATCTGTCCGGTAGATCGTTTCGATCATGCTCGTTCTTGTCTTGAACTCTTTGTCCAGATCTTCTGACCACTTGAGCCGTCTCGCGATCTTGTGTCCAAAATCCCTTTCCTTTTCCGTTGTTGCTGCTACCCTGTCAGTTGAGTTGAGTGTGAGTACTTGATCGATCCGGGCCAGATATCCCTAGATCGCTCTTCTCGATCTTAGCCAAAAATCCACGATCTATCTCCAACGTCCTTGGAACACGCGTACCTTGACCCGCCGGGGAATCCAAATCAATCTTGCACAGAGAATAGGGGAGGGGAACGCGCGTCGTGAGCAGAAGAAGTAGAGTTCAAGTCTGTTTAATCACCGACCAAATTAATAACCAACTTATCCTTAAGCCTATTCCAAACCGAAGGTAGCTCTCCAAGCCGATATCACCTTTAAGCTTGACCGCCCCCTTGAACACGTGTCGAAATTTCGTGACCCGTGCTCCAAAAATAGCGCCAAAATCCCCGATATCGTACCTAAACACCAAAAGAGGACCAAATCCCAAATATGGTACCAAATCCCCATTTTGGTACCAGAGAGTACTCAAATACCAAATGCGTCTAAATCCATTTTGCGACGTCAATTCAACTAGCTTCCACTGGCTCTTTCGGTCTGAACTTTTAGGACATCGTTCATGTACCTTCAACCAGTATATTCATAATAATACAATAGCTCCATTAGCGATACATCCATGATCAATGGGGAACATGACCGATCTGCTGCCCAATTCGAGATAATTGAGGATCTACACAGAATAATGAAACAGTAGACATTTTCCCGTTCATCGTGTGTGCTCCAATGCCACCCCTCAAGGTTTATCTGATCAGCGAGACCATCCACGCGCCTTGTAATAACAATCTGGACTCCCGTAAGTGTTCACACTTCCAGATCGAACTGTACTCAACCAAAATCAGTACTTCCGTTGTGGGACCGGTAGAGAGTATCATCGATCTGCAAGATGTTGCAGCTTTGTCCTTCAAGCGGATCGTTTGACTTAACCACTTCCTTTGTCCAAGATCGCACCATGGAAATCGTCTATGCCTGCGACTTGTCCCAGATTGTTTCCTGGAAATCATTCCCTTCTACGCTTCGTCTCAGATCATTCTACATCCATCAATTTGTTGACAGTAGGATTGGTTCGTTAATATCCGTGGGATCACCTTCCATCTGCTATTCGATCGATAGATCGTTGGGTGTCAGTTTCCACCAGTAAGTGGCACCTGATTTGGGTGGTCACCGATCCACGTCCCAAAATGTGATAGGTGACTTTGCCACAACCGCCTCATGCACTGAAGTCTTTCAGTACATGAGCCCTCAGTTCAGTCACTCATCAGCTTCGATCCAAGCACTTAAGTTTATCTCATGGCCTCTCCGACGCATTTACCCACATCGCCGATCTCTTCAGAAGGCTGCATTGTGCTTCTGTCTCCGGATCGCGATCTGTTGCACGACTCGTCCAATCACGGGGGGCAAACTCCAACGGTCTTAGATCGACTTGCCAGAGGGGTTGGACATAGCAGACCAAGAGGATCCTTGGCGCAACCAGTTCCGTAACGCCTATTAGGGTCACCCCAGATCGCAGATTCCTCATCTCTACTTCATATTCTCCCTCCTCAAGATCGCTCTCTTAACTGTATTCTGGTAGCAGAGCTTCATCGAAATCCAAGCGATCTGCTTCATCCCTCATAAGCAGATCCTTCGGCCGTTCAGGGAACGTCTTTACCTTTTTTAACTTCGATAGACGTACAATCGGAAAAAGCCGATAAGGGGTCCCAGCGATCTCCAATTTTACAGCATGATCTCCACATATACCCACCACTCGGAATGGGCCATGCCACATATGCGCTAGCTACTTCGCACATCCCTCTTTAACTCGGTCCAGGTATAGCCAAACTTGCTGCCCACTTCGGTCTCGTGCGGCTCCAGGTCTTCATTGTGTTGATTCGATCTTTCTTGAATCGCGGCTCGTAAGTGATCGTTCACTGCATATCGGGCTCGCTAGTACTGTCTTTGGATTATGTATCTCCACCTCTATGGATCGCGATCCAGTGTTCCCGTGTTCCCGTGTTCCCCACTGATATCGTAGCTTCCAACGTCGATCGCAGGTCCCACCCATGAATCAGATAAAACAGGGTATCCCCCCGGATCCGATCTTGTGCAGTGTTAATGGCAAATGTGAGCCGCTCAGCATACTCATCCCAGTCTCGCTGGTCAACTTCAGCTACGTACATCTTGAGCGAATGTGTCAGGGTTTGCACCATTCGTTCGGCTGTTCCATTTGCTTGTGGCCTGTAAGCCATAGTAGCACGCTGTTTTTGTCCTACGATCCGACTGAAGGCTCGAAAGAAGTCGGACATAAATCTCGATTCTCGATCGTGCCTGATAGCCTCGCTAGCTCCGAAGCGTCGAGACACACATTCTTCGTAATTCTCTGCTATAGTTTGTGCCGTCCGTGATGAGCTAGCCTTTGCAATCACATATCCCGAGAAAAGGTCGACCCAAATGAGCAGTTCGGTAATCCCCTTGATGGACTTGGGCAACGACGGTATATAATCCATGGCGATGATCTGGAATGGATAGGTTGCGTGCAGATTGCCCGGGGATTTTCCATGAACCATCGGGTTTCCTTTCCCGGTCTCACAGTCGGTACATTCGCCCACATATCGTTGAACGCTCCGATACAGTCCTCTCCAATGAAATCGCGATCTGATCCTCTGATAGGTTCGACCAATACCCTGATGGCCTCCTTCCAGACTCGTGTGATAGTGATGCAAAAAATCCTGCTGCAAAGTCTCAGGGATCACCAACCGCATCAAACCATCGCGATCTTCTGACTCTCTTTTCGCCATGGGTCAGCAAAATAGCAGATCATTCTCAACGATCTCGTATTCCGGCGCCAGTTTGGCGCACATCTTCACTTCTCCCGCATCCAAGTTTGATACATCGCCACGTAGATATTTCTTGAGATTGACAATCTAACGCTCTTCATCTTGAGCTTGGACAATTCGTTAAATCCTGATCCTCTGTACAATTTTCTCCTGTATCACTTCAGGTTCATGACGTATCCTCCCGGCTGATCTCGTGATCGCAGTTATCCGAGCCAGCTGACCATCTTGCTTGGGCTTCAACAATTCATCGAGACGGTTCAGAGTCATCAGATCTTGCAGATCCTCTTCAGCTACAACGGTTCTTCCCTTTTCATTCTGCAATGCTGTGCTGGCTAGTCGATCTGCGCTCTGGTTCCACCCTCGCTTCATATGCAGAAATTCGTGAATAGGCGAAGATCGCAATTTCTCTAACGCTTTGTGTCTCAGAAGCTGAAGGCCCGGTGCCTTGCAGTCGATCTCACCGCGCATCTGTCGAATCACCAGACTGGAATCTCCACACAGTATTACTCGCCCCCTATCCAGACCGGCGAGTAACTCAAAGCACAGTAGCAAGCCATTATACTCAGCTTCGTTCACAGTCAGATCGTGAACATATCTCGATTCGGCCGCCACGATCGTCCATTCGGGTAACTTCCATATCACGGCACTGAACGACCCTCCTTTCTTTTTTACCCTAGCCGATCCATCGAAAATCGAAAGTGCTGGCTACCAGCAACTCCTCATCTGTTTCCACCGTTGGAGGAGGCATCGATATTTTGAGTCGACAGTCTTTTCGTGGGGAGATCGCAATCAGCATCTCTTCCACCTCTCCTCTCGGAGTGATACTCGCTGCTGACATGCCCAGTATTTCTTCCTCTCCTCTTTCACATTTCTTCACCTCCATAGTCCAATTTGACAACAAAGCAGCCCACCGTCCTGATCTCCCGTTGAGCCCTCGAGACTGCATCAACCAGGCTAACGTAGAATGTCGGGTCAGTACAGTGATCTCCCGCGAGGCAAGCGTAGTATAGCATGCATCCAACACACGAAGTAGCGCCAGCACTTCTTTTTCTACCATTCCGTAGTTAAGCTCATTAGGCTTTAAAGTGCGGCTAGTAAACGTCACCGGATGGTACACGCCATCGTACTCCTGTATCAGGGCCGCTGAGACAGCCCACTTGCTAGCGTAGACCACGATTACGGGGGACCGATCTGGGTCGAAATGCTTGAGCATGGGAGATGTAGCTATCTTAGCTTTTAGCATAGTGAAAGCAACCTTGGCTTCCGTCCATCGACCCTCGTTGGAGCATTCGTCTCCTGCTGCAAGCTGAGATCGGCCGATCTCGAAGAAATCCGATTCTCTTAACTCATACAACACCGCGGAATACACCGCGAAATCCTCAATGAAGCGACGGTAGTAGTTCAAGCTCCCGAGAAAGGATTGCATAGCTCGTAGCGTGCTAGGAAACGGGATGGGGCCCAACGACTCTAGGTTCTTGGGCTGAGCCTCCAGACCATCCATCGACACTCGATGTCCCAAATAATCGACCTTACGGCACCCCCAAAAGCTCTTCGTGAGGCTGATTGACAGATTCCACCTATCACATGCCTCCAGCAACCGTTCTACTTTTGTTTACAAAGATCCCCATGACGTGGCTGGTATGAGAATATCGTCAATGTAAGATCGGCGTCCCAGTATAGACAGGTCGCCAATCTGTCTCAAGTTCTACAGCTTTGAACACATCGATCGGGCCATCAGAAGCTGATCTCTGTCCGATTTTTAGATATCCATACAGCGCTTTGTCAACCAGACGTCGGTAAATCTGAGGTGCTTTCTTAAGCCCAAAAAGGCATTCGCAGCCACTCGAACAAGCCAAACGGTGTGACAAACGCTGAGACCAGTATTGCTCGTTTAGTCATTTTGACGACCCAAAATCCACTAGCCATGTCTAGCGAGCAGTACCTTAGAGCTTTATCCAGATCTTCCAACAGATCGCTGATCAACGGCATGGGGTAAACCATCAGGCACGTCAGCTGGTTCACTCTTCGATTATCAATAAAAAGGCCAACATCCACTTCATTCTTCTTGATAATCACCACTATCGAAGACGCCCAAGGCGACGTGGATGGCTGAACAAATTTGGCTGCTAATAGTCCTTTGATGAGATCTGACAGCTTCTCCCGATATTTGGGTGCGACCGGACGGACTCTTTGCGCAATTGGTGCGGCTCCACCGACATCGATATCACAAATCGCCCCTCGTGCTGCTGGCGGTAGAGCATTGCCTTTACCCATGAGGAGGTGACGGCTCTTCCAGATCAGCGATCTGAGCCGTTGTTGATCTGTGGTGAGAGGCACATCGGGATCACCGATCTGAATGTCCTCAATCGTAACTTCTTCCGTAGTCGCCGACATCTCTGGTAGCACGGCCATTTGCTGCTCGATATTTTCCGCAAACAAATCTCCGCTCTCGTGGTGATAAACTGGTATTTCTGCAATCTCAAAGTCTTCAGTATTTAGCATTATTTCTTCTTTAGGCTCCTTCGTCTCTTCCGGCTGGCCCAATTTCAACAGTCGGTCAGTCGGCTCAGCCTTCGGTAGAGACGATCTGTCACGTAGCCCTTCTTGACCGGTGTCGCGGTACCTCTTCGTTGCATGTTGGGTACGGATCTCATGACCGTTCTCCATCCGCGATAGTTCGGCTCCCCTGACCGTTACTTCCCACGCAACTACAGCATCTGCCTTTTGCGAATCGTCATCGTTAGCTTGCGGCGTTACCGTGGAGATCGCCGGAGACAGGTTCTGTAACGCATCAGACGGACGTTTCAAGATGCGTTTGGGAGCGGCATACGTAGGACGGTCTACCAATGGTCCGATCTGTTCTTTCGGGAGTTCGTTCACTCGATCCGTCGTAGCCTCACATGCCAGAGTTTGCCATTCCTTGTACTTCCCTGACCCGAATGTCACCAAACCTTGAGTTCGCGGTACCATATCGCCTTCGACCCACATGCCTAATATAGTGTGGGTGGGCAGTATGATCTCACGGTCGCCAATGTTGGTCATCTGCAGGTATTTCGTCTTACCCCACCCCGAGATCACAGTGGGGACCCAATCTAGTCCTCTAGCGACCCACAACTTCATCTTAGCCCCTCCGATCCCGATCTTCACTTCCCTTGACTCTCCGACCGGGATCACCACGTGTTGATACTTCGCCGTTACATACTGTACCTTCGATCCGTACGCGGGGCTACGTCCTGCGAGATGAATGCGGATTTCTTCTGGTAGACATAGCGCGCCATCAGCTAAATCGAGCCGCACTCCGGCAGGCACCATAAAGTCCATACCCAGAATCGCTTCTTGCCCTGCCAGATCGCCTACCAATGCATTAAAAATTGTATAATAGCGATCCCGCGAGGGTCACCTTGATCTTGGTACGTCCTACCGTCATGTACGGAGTTTCTCCAATCCCGATACATTCTTGTCGTTGACTTTCGTCAATATTGCAACCGACCTCACGAGCGAAGGTGGTGTCAATGATCGACACTTCAGCACCAGAATCAAACAATAGAGTAGCTTTTATGTTGTTGATCTTGCCAACGGCTTTCGCTTGTTTGAACCACATCCCAGGTAAATATTGTTTCCAGTATCCGCGAGATTCACCATAAGCGAGCTCGATCTCCATAGCTGGTTCAGATCGTGAGTACTCATCGATCCGCTTCAGATGGGACACGGAAGCGATACGTTTAAACTTCGAACGAGATACATTTGTTTCCACGTCAATATCCTGCTTACTCTCGCAATCTGTCCGCTTTTTTTCCGCGTATGCAATAATGCAGAGCCCAGAACGCTCGGCTCGAACCAGATTCAAACCTGGCGAGCGTCCTAGTTTTATATCTTCTCGGCCTTGTCTGGTAGCATCCCCGCATGCTTATTCGGGACGTACCGCTGACGGATCAAGTTGTAGAACTCCTCCATGGGACACTTCCCCGGGTTGTGCATCTCACCGCAAGCACGACACACGAAAAAACAATTGTCAGAGGGGTGTCCTTTACGCCCACACTTCTGGCAAGTGAGCCGCTTCCAGCAACCGAGATCTCTATGCTTGGTCGATCCGCAATGAGTACACGGCTTCAATGGCATATTGCGATCTTGATAGTCTTGACGAGTGTTCGGGTCGACAGATCTCGCGTTTGCTGCAACGTCATTGGGGGATGAACGGCGATCCGCAGTAGCAGCCACATGGATCGCTCTCAATCGATCTTCCAAATCCGATCCGCAGGTGTTTGATCCTGACTCGCTGCAGACGTGCTCGGTACGGACAATCCTTACCGCTCGTGCAGGCTTAGACAGCGCTGGACCCTGAGTTCACTTCTGCCTGAACTTGGACGATCCCATCATCACTTTCCCTTGACGTGATCTCCCTTGTTGATATCCGTGCAGTGTCTTTTGCATGGCTCCCGCGTCTTCTACATTCAGCAGTAGCAATTGATTAGACAGATCGGGGTCGTCCAAGGTGTCAATGAAATGATTGACATGTTCCTTGCGCGCAGCTGGCAATCCAGTCATCACCGGTATCATCGCCTGCATTCCCATTACATTAAGCCGATACAGGTACTGTAAAGGATCTTCCTCCGATCGTTTCTTTGCGTGGTAGTACTGCCTGCTCGCGGACATCCCGTGTCCTGCATACTCCTCAAGAAAACTGTTCATCAATTCTTTCCAATTGAATCTCGTCGATCTACTCAGCTGTCGGTACCAGTAGCGGGCTGGGCCCACCATGAGATCACCGAAGACCAGACATCTCTCCTCGTCCGGTGCTTGGTCCCGGATAAACGCTGATTTTATTTGCCAATCCAGGTCCGTGCTTTGTCTTCTTCCCGATCATTCCCTGAGAATTCTTTTAGCTCAGAAATCGCTGAGATTCTGATCCTCTGCGTGATGCTTCCCCCTCCGGTAGTCGCACCGGTCGCGGCTACATGAGGGCACCGTGATTCGGGCATCCATAGATCATCCGGGTCGTATTACGCCCCCTCACGGATATGTTGGTAAATATTCGACCCCACCGACTCCATCTCCACATCCGGCATGTCAAGGCTTTCGTGTGAAGGTTTGATTAAAGTACGTCGATCTGGGTAGCGGTTTGGCTGTCGATTCATTCGCTGAGCTGTACTTTGATCCGCCTCGTACTTCTGAATGGCTGAATTGAAGTACCGACTTAGATCGCCCTCTTCTTGATCCTCCAGACCAGTGCGGGTACTGGCCGATCTCTGCGGCATGTTGATCTTGGCTTGTCCCTTATAGGCGTCTATCTTGGCTTTTCCGATCTTGTCCTTTAAAAACCTTCCGCCCGATGGTCATAGAGACATCTGACAAATGCTGATGGATCCATCTGACTCGCTCTCGGAGTCATCCGAGGCGTAGCGGGGCGATCCCGCGGGGTGTTTACGGAGCGAGCCCGAGGGCGTTCCGATCTTGTCTTCAGGAGTATTCGATTTGCCCACCAGCATTATCATGATCTCTACAAACTCATTCGCCGCGTCCTTCAACTGTTCCAAGCTGCAACTCAGCATTTCATCTCCATCAAAAGCGTCAGGGCAGATACCCATGTCGTCCAACATCTGCAAAATCAAATTGATCTCGTCGACTTAGTTGGTCCCGTTTAGTGGGACCGATGTCGGCTTATCCAGAGGACCAATCACCTTGGGCCTTAATATCTTGAACACTGGGTCCGTCTTGAGCAGCGTCTTCAACTGGCCATAATAGTACTGCCATTTTGCACGCTCCCGCGCTTCACCCGTCGTCTCCTTCTCCCTGGACGCGATCTTTATTGGGTTATATTCCGTCTTTGGCATCGCGATCTTATCTGGTGTTTTATCGTATTCCTTTTTGGCTCCGATCTTTGATTGCACGGTTCGGCCGATCTGGCGATCTTTGAAATCTAATTTCATCGATCTCGTCGCGGATCGTTCTGATGTGGTCGATCTTGCGATTGTGCTCTTCGGATTGAGGTCGGGCGATCTATCGACTAAGATATAGGGTTTGGCTTTCGCCGATTTGGTTTTCACCATTGGATTTTCATCCAGCAGATCGCTCTTTGCAGAGCGATCTGCGGTGGCCCCCGAAGGGACCCTAGGAAGGAATTGAGGTTTATCTTCCAGATCGATCTCTCGATCTTCCTCTTTCATTTTCACTTCATCAGAGCCCCTCTCAAAACTCTGATGATCTGAGGATCTTGTGCTTCTGCGTGTCCGCGTCGATCCATCTGTCGCTGACACTTCAATCCCAGGTTCTTGCTTGATCTTGACATCTTCGCCAGTGGACTCACGGTGAAATCCAGAGGCCTCAGAAGATCCGGGCACGCGCACCATTGTGTTGAAGCCGATCTCACAAAATTGCTTGTATGAGCGTCGATCTTCCACTTGCCCAGACTTGCCGACTCACGGAGGGGGTACTCCGATCCGTGCCTTGTCGTATGACCTTGTGCTCACCTTGTGTACCCGTCGGTTGGGTTGGCTTGATCTCTTCGTAACGGCCTTGGGAGATGTCGATCTCGCTGAGAGGTTGGGTTGAGGGTTCGCTTCCGGTGCGGAAATCTTCACACCACGAACGGGGGTTCTGCGATCCCGATCTTGGATTGCACCGATCTTGATTTGTCATCAAGATCGGGGTCTTTGCTGTGCGGAAATCTTCACTCAGCAAATAAAAGTCCTGCGTCGATCTTGCCTTGGGATCGGTCCGATCTGGTCTTGGGATCGGCCGATCTTGCCGGAAGTGCGCAATTTGGGTAGATCGGTGTCTTGTTTCGCCAAAATGAAACGTGCCGATCTGTCCAGGGGATCGTTTCGATCCCGCTCGGTCTTGTCTTGAACGCCTTGTCCAGATCTTCTGACCACTTGAGCCGTCTCGCGATCTTGTGTCCAAAATCCCTTTCCTTTTCCGTTGTGTGCTGCTACCCTAGCAGTTGAGTTGAGTGTGAGCACTTGATCGATCCGGGCCAAACTTCCCGAGATCGCTCTTCTCGATCTTGGCCAACAATCCAAGATCGGTCTTCTGTGTCCCTGTAACACGCGTGCCTTAACCCGCCGGGGAAGCCAAATCAATCTTGCCTGGAGAAGAGGGGAGGATAACGTGCGTCGTGAGCAGAAGAAGTAGAGTTCAAGTCTCTTTGTTAACCAACCAAATGACTATCCAACCTACCCTTAAGCCTATTCTTAACTATAGGTCACTCTTTAAACCGATATCGCCTTGAATCTGGTTCGCCCCCTTGTCACGTGTCGAAATTTCGTGCCCTGTACTCCAATGATAGTGCCAATATCCCCGATATCGTACCTAGAGCACCAAATGGACCAAAATCTCCTATATGGTACCAAATACCCATTCTTGGCACCCAAGTACCCAATATATGACCCAAAATGCCGAATGTGTCCAAATTCACTTTGCGACGTCAATTCGGACAGCTTCCACTGGCTTTTTCGGCATGAAACTTCTTGACATCACTTAGTGACCTCTATCAAGTATATTCCACATGATCCAGTATCTTCATCAACCATGTATTCATGATCAGTGTGGAACATGACCGATCTGTCATCCAATATCGAGATGTTGGAGGTCGATCCGGTCTAAATCGGCAATTAACACCTTTTCATCTCCTCATACGTGCTCCAATATCATCCTCCAGTGTTATCCAATCGACAACTTCATTCATACGTCTCGACATCGGTTTCCTTGACTCCCCTGAGTATGCAAAAACTTCCAGATCGGTGTATAATTAACCAAAATCAGTACTCCCAATTTAGGATCGGTAAAGAGTATCAGCGATCCGTATGGTGTTGCACCTTCTTTGCCGATTCACCGACCCGTACCACCTGGTCCCAGATGCACTTTGGGGAGTCACCTTGTCCCAGATGTGTCAATTCTCCAACAAACCATTGCCACAACATGTCGATCTGCGATCTGATCTTAGCCTGCTTCAATGTACGTATACTTCTTCTTGACCGGCATTCCAATGAGCTGTATGACTTCATTCCGATGTCTGGTTCCAGATCGCCCCACAACATTCTGCAAGATGTTACACCTTCGTTGCAGAGTCATATCCCATATCCGGGTCCCAGATCCTTGTCCCAGATTGTTCCATGTAAATCGTTCCAGATCGCTCCGTCCCAGGTCAAACCATACCCATTAGTCTAACGACAGTTGGATCGGTTCGCCGATCCCGTTAAGATCATCTTCCACCTCCGTATTGTATCGCCGAGTCTCATGACCTCCTTTTCTACCAGTAAGCGGCGCTTTAAAGGTATGGCCACCGATCCTCGTACAAAATTTGAGTAGTGACTTTGACACAACTGCCCCCCGTACTGAAGTATCTATTTACCGGCCTTGAACGTAGCCGTCTTCTTTCTTCGTTGCTCTGGATGGGCATTCATCGACACCTTTCAATGTAATGCACCCGCCGTCCCGTGATACTCAGCCAGGTTCAGAATAAAGCTATCTGACATCTTCAGATCACACGAATCAAGCAGATCGCCACGTCTTTCTCCATTTCGGTGTCCATGCTATTCATCTTGGCGGCGGTGTTCGAGCGTTTGTTGCAATGTTTCTACACTTGTCATCCATCCACCCATTCGCTCATACCGAATATCTGTCTCATGTTATGTAGAGATACCCGCTTCAAACCGTGCGGGGTAGTCGATCTAGCTCTATCCGAACTGCAAGTTGACGGCATCGTTTTTCACGGTAACTACACCTGAGCTGATTGGACGAATAGAACGTTTGACGAGCAGTACGATTGGATGCACTAATGATTGGAGGTGGACATCGTAGCCGCCTGAGCAGAGTACGATATGCTTTTTTAATCACTGTTCATTCTTCCTTCAACGTATCAAGGGGATTGCGCCATCCTTCCTGCCTTCTGCCAATCGCCGTAAAAAATCTCGAAGGGCATCCACGCCACTCAGGCTAATTTGAGAATGAAGAACAGGTACATTCGATGCACCCTCATGCGCCAGTGGGTGAGCAAAACCAGCGATGTTTCTGATCACAACGGGCCACACCAACTCCGTTGAGATTACGTGAGCAGCTTCTTGTAGCATTGATGGCTACTCTTCAATCCAAACTTGAAGCGTAGTATTTACGGCATCGATTTTACGGCAATGACACCCGAGTTCATGATGCGAGCAGCTGGATTGAAAGAACTACATGATTTATATGTGGAAAGCACATACATCAGGGTGCAAGTAGAATAAACTCCGATGCATCAACACTTTTGACTCTACCCTCTCCTACTCGAGTCGCCTACACTTCCTGTGAAGACTTCCTTCGTCCTCTTCAAGCTTCCTCAACAAAGTCACACACCATGAGTCATTCACCAATGACCACGAGACAAAGATTCTCTCATTGCATTCGTTGTCTTCATCGCAATGTTTCAGTGGGCATTGATCAATGCTCGCAAGCTGCAGGAGCACCGTGGATCTCTTCCATAGTAGTACGTACGCTTATGCTAGTATAGCTAGTTCCCCACGATGTGTGCTCCGATTTACCGCTATCTGTGGAGTATCGAGATTCGCGCTAATTTCTGAAGTATCTATTTACCGGCCTTGACCGTAGCCGTCTTCTTTCTTCGTTGCTCTGGATGAGCATTCATCAACACCTTTCAATGTAATGCACCCGCCGTCCCGTGATACTCAGCCAGGTTCAGAATAAAGCTATCTGACATCTTCGGATCACACGGATCAAGCAGATCGCCACGTCTTTCTCCGTTTCAGTGTCCATGCTATTCATCTTGGCGGCGGTGTTCGAGAGTTTGTTGCAATGTTTCTACACTTGTCATCCATCCACCCATTCGCTCGTACCGAATATCTGTCTTATGTTATGTAGAGATACCCGCTTCAAACCGTGCGGGGTAGTCGATCTAGCTCTATCCGAACTGCAAGTTGACGGCATCGTTTTTCACGGTAACTACACCTGAGCTGATTGGACGAATAGAACGTTTGAGGAGCAGTACGATTGGATGCACGAATGATTGGAGGTGGACATCGTAGCCGCCTGAGCAGAGTACGATATGCTTTTTAATCACTGTTCATTCTTCCTTCAACGTATCAAGGGGATTGCGCCATCCTTCCTGCCTTCTGCCAATCGCCGTAAAAATTCTCGAAGGGCTTCCACGCCACTCAGGCTAATTTGAGAATGAAGAACAGGTACATTCGATGCACCCTCATGCGCCAGTGGGTGAGCAAAACCAGCGATGTTTCTGATCACAACGGGCCACACCAACTCCGTTGAGATTACGTGATCAGCTTCTTGTAGCATTGATGGCTACTCTTCAATCCAAACTTGAAGCGTAGTATTTACGGCATCGATTTTACGGCAATGACACCCGAGTTCATGATACGAGCAGGTTGATTGAAAGACCTACATGATTTATATGTGGAAAGCACATACATCAGGGTGCAAGTAGAATAAAATCCGATGCATCAACACTTTTGACTCTACCCTCTCCTACTCGAGTCGCCTACACTTCCTGTGAAGACTTCCTTCGTCCTCTTCAAGCTTCCTCAACAAAGTCACACACCATGTGTCATCCACCAATGACCACGAGACAAAGATTCTCTCATTGCATTCGTTGTCTTCAACGCAATGTTTCAGTGGGCGTTGATCAATGCTCTCAAGCTGCAGGAGCACCGTGGATCTCTTCCATAGTAGTACGTACGCTTATGCTAGTATAGCTAGTTCCCCACGATGTGTGCTCCGATTTACCGCTATCTGTGGAGTATCGAGATTCGCGCTCATTACTGAAGTATCTATTTACCGGCCTTGACCGTAGCCGTCTTCTTTCTTCGTTGCTCTGGATGGGCATTCACCAGCACCATTCAATTTAATGCACCCGCCGTCCCGTGATACTCAGCCAGGTTCAGAATAAAGCTATCGGACATCTTTGGATCACACGGATCAAGCAGATCGCCACGTCTTTCTCAATTTCGGTGTCCATGCTATTCATCTTGGCGGCGGTGTTCGAGAGTTTGTTGCAATGTTTCTACACTTGTCATCCATCCACCCATTCGCTCGTACCGAATATCTGTCTCATGTTGTGTAGTGTTAAAGTTAACAGAGCGTTGAAGTGAAGATGACTGTTGGTCGAAGCAGCAAAATAAAAGTGAATTATGTTTGAGTGCCAACTCGTTCCTATCGTTGCTACTCATCCTTCCGATTCATTCTTCATGCTACCGTCCCATCAATGCAGCAAATCCTTTCCCATGTTCCTTTCCCATGTTCCTTTCCCATGTTCCGTTCCCATGTTCCGTTCCTATAACGGGATCTCTGGTGTGGCACAAACCTTTCCGTTGACACACAAAATGGACACAAAATGGGGGACGTCACTGTCTGGCAGGACAGTGCTGGTGAACTCCAAACACCAGGACCCGAAGGTCTATTTTTGCCGCCGGGTATCGAATTAGTGACCTCTGGGTTATGGCTGCCACACATAACCACTTGAGCTACAGCAAGCTTAGTCTACGTGTAGTACTACTGATACTAACCTCTGATCCATGGACACGCTGATCCATCCTAATGTCCATCTCACACATGTCGCATCACCTAATTTTAACACTCACCCTTGATGCGCACATGTATGCCTGGAATCACCTACACTTCCAGATGTAGACCTTGCAGAAAAACTGCATGCTTGGTACGCCCGAGAGCCTTCGTCAAGCCGTCTGCAATCATCGCTTCTGTTGGCATGTACTCAAGCTCAATGACGCCTTCCTCAACCTTGTCGCGAAGAAAGTGATACTTGATGTCGATAAGTTTTGTTCTTGCATGGTAGACTGGATTCTTCGCCAGCGCAGTACAGCCTTGATTGTCTTCATAGATGGTCGTAGCCGCTCCAAGTTCTACGCCAATGTCGGACAGTAATAGTCGTAGCCACACCGCCTCTTGCGCTGCAGCGTACGATGCTATGTACTCAGCCTCGGTGCTAGACGTCGCCACTGTCGGTTGTCTCTTCGACTTCCACGACACCACATTGCCGTGCAGAAAGAAAACGTAGCCTGTCGTCGAGCGGCGAGAATCCAGGTCACTTGCCCATGACGCATCAGCAAAACCGAGCAACTCTCCCTTATCTTTACCGCTAAATACAATGCTGTAATCTGCAGTTGTCTTCAGGTATTTTAGCACACGCTTGGCCGCGATCCAGTGGCTTTTTCCATGCCTTTCGCAGTATTTGGCCACTTCTCCTACCGCGAACATGATGTCTGGTCTAGTGCACGTTGCAACGTACATAAGTGCACCAACTAGCTCACGGTAAGGCCACTTCGGCACGAATTCATCATCGTCCCCCAGCTTGGTCAGCTTTTCACTTTCGTTTGACGGTGTGTGCACGTCCTTGCATTGGTCGACGCCGAATTTCTCAGTCAAACGCTTGATGTAAGCACGCTGATTCATTCGAATAGATTTGCTCTTGCGATCACGCGTCAATTTGATGCCAAGACAGTACTTCAGTTCGCCGAGCTCTTTAATACTGAACTCGGTCTTGAGTGCACGCTTGATGTCATCGATGTGTTCTTGCGTCCGAGCGAAGAGCATCAAGTCGTCAACGTGAATGATCACCAGACTAAATTGAGTATCCGATCGTCGCACATAGACACAGAGATCGGCAGACGTACGCGTGAACCCTTGGCTTTCAAGGTGTGAGTTAAGACGATGATTCCATTCTCTTGCCGCTTGCTTTGGTCCGTACAAAGCTTTGTTTAGCAGACACTTCTTGTCAAGGTATTGCTTTTCAACACATCCATCCGGCTGATCCATGTAGATCTCTTCCTTGACTTCGCCGTAGAGGAAAGCGGTATCAACGTCAACGTTCTCCATTATCAAATCTTGCTCCGCCGCAAGTGCTATAGCAACGTTGATTGACTCTTTTTGTGCTACTGGAGCAAACGTCTCAAAAATAGTCCACACCAGGATGCTGGGAGAATCCCTTCGCTACGAGTCGTGCCTTGAACTTCACGATTTCTCCGTTAGGTTTGCGCTTTATGCGAAATACCCACTTGCACCCTATTGATCTTTTGTCGGAGGGTAAATCTTGAAGCGTCCATGTGTTGTGCTGTGCCAAAGCTTGAATCTCACTTTTCATTGCACGTATCCAGTCGTCCTTGTACTTAATTTCCAACACTTTAGAGTATGTCGATGCGCTTTCACCATCCTCTTCAGCTTTTAAACAGTACTGCGTCGCGTAGCTAGCGTCGTAGTCGTCAAGGTTGAAGGTTCCTCGCCGTAGATTAGGAAACTCTTGCTCGTAGCGCTTGATTGCTTGCTTCTTGCGTGCTATCTCACATTCCACTCTTGTTCGCCGTCTCGTCCTGGTGTGCTTGATTGTCGTGTGGTTACTGCTCCGGTTGGTCTGTCTATCGGTACTGTACTATTTGGTGTTATAATTGGACTTCCTGGTACCGGCGTGCAGGTTCCCTCATCGCTTATTGCGTGGTCCCTTGGATCCTGCATATTGTCGCCATCGCCAGCGACGTCAGTTACACTAGGCGTATCTTCGTAGCGTGTCTGTTCCACGGCAGTCTCCACCAAAGTCACACCTCGGGAAACGAACACTTTTCCAGTCGCTGTATTTAGAAGTCGATACGCTTTGTGTTGTTTGGCGTATCCGAGCAGCATACACCGCACACCGGAGGGGTCCAACTTGTTCCGATTTTATTTGGGAATATGCGCGTAGCAAAGACTTCCAAATACGCGCATTATATCCATACGAGGTTTGCGCTTGAACACCATCTCGAACGGGCTTAGGTTCGGACTTGAAGCTTGTGGAAGAACGTTGAGAATACCCTCAGCGGTCAGCATCGCCTCACACCAGAATGTTTTATCCATCTTGGATTCGCTCAGCATACAGCGCGTCATCTTGACTAGTGTGCGATTAAGCCGCTCCGCCATGCCATTCTGCTCCGGATTATACGGCACTGTGAACTCTTGCTTTATCATCCCTTGATGGCAGAATCGAGTCATCTCGTCATTATAGTACTCACCGCCGTTATCACTGCGTAGTACCTTCACGTCCAAACCGCATTCGATTTTGATATCGTAACAGTACCTTTTAAATGCTTTCGTGACTTCACTCATTTTTCGTAGCGGGAATACCATCGCAAAGCGGCTGTTCATCATCATGAACGTCGCAACGTATCGATAGTTCGATCTTGATGCTGGTGTTGTCGGCCCTAAAACATCCGAGCATATGATTGAGTCCATACGATGGCTCTCCCTTGCATCTGCATCAGCCTTAGTGCTGTGGAAAGTCTTGCGTACTTGCTTGGCTGTCGCACATATGTCACAGACGACATTCGAGTCCAAGCATTTTCCTTTAATGCAGCCGTCTTGAATCAGCTTGTTCACAGTTGAGTATGACACGTGTCCAAGTCGGCGGTGCCACAGTTCAGCTTCATCCTCCACAATACGGCATTGTGGACTTTCTTCGACATTCAGATTGATAAGCATACCACATCGCTTTCCTGTCGCGACGATTCGCCCGCTCTTCAAAACATTGCACCCGTCGCTGGTGATTTCAACCGTCATCCCGCGTGCAGTAGCTGCTGTCAGTGAGAACAGGTTCTTGTTGAGATCTTGCACGTGTAGTGTATTTTCCAGCCGGGCATTTATCCACAAAGTGCCATTCCAAACACGCAAGACCACCGTGCCTTGTCCAAGCACCTTTAAGCTTGCACTGTTTTTCGCGCTTTTCACATTACGTGCCGTCGGTGATGCCGTATAGTCGATAAACGCGTCTTTGTCCTTGCACATGTGCGCCGTTGCGCCGCTGTCCATGATACAGCAGTCGCTCGTATTTCCTTGAGTGACAGTGAACGCCACATTCGAGTGATCTTCTTTTCTCTCGCCATTATCAGCTTTCTTTTTCCTGCAGTCTCGCGCGTAGTGTCCGCGCTTACCACAGCTAAAGCACTGAACACTTGACCCCGTCTTCCGCGGACCACCGCTCCTTTTGTTAAAGCTTTTCTTTTCCTGTCGTTTGCCGACATGTAGCGCTGTCTCGTCTTCAATGCGCGTCGAATCCTTCTTGCGCACTTCCTCGGCAATCAGCTTGCTCACCAGATCTTTGAAGCTGAATTGTGTGACGCTCATGCGAAAAGCCTGCACCAGTCCCTCGTATTGCGCCGGGAGACTTCGCAGCAACGTTGCACACGTATCTTCTTCACTTGGTCCACACGAAGCTCCATTCATTTCCAGCACGAGCCGCTCCAGCTCCATAACGTGGGCGCTCATGTCCGATGCCGTAAACTTGAATGTCGCAAACTTCTCCTTTAGCCACAGCCGACTTGCCATGTCTTGGGTCCGATGAACTCGCGCGAGTGCTCCCCATGCTTCGCATGCACTACTCGTTGTAATGACATGCATGAGCTGAGTATCGCTCAAGTTGAGCACGATTGTCGCATGCTCCTGCTGCTCCTTCGCCTCGGAGACGCCAGATGTGGCGTTAACCGCTTCCCATAACCCCTTGGAGATGAGGTATATCTTCATCTTGAACGCCCATAACGAATAGTTTGTTCCGTCAAACTGTGCCACCTTGGGCGTGGAGTCGTTACTTGGGCTCATAACCTGTTAAATTTAACAGAGCGTTAAAGTGAAGATGACTTTTGGTTTTGCTGCTTCGACCAACAGTCATCTTCATTTCAACGCTCTGTTAACTTTAACATGTAGCGCTACCCGCTTCAAAACGTGCGGGGTAGTCGATCTCGCTCTATCCGAACTGCAGGTTGACGGCATCATTTTTCACGGTAACTACACCTGAGCTGATTGGACGAATAGAACGTTTGACGAGCAGTACGATTGGATGCACTAATGATTGGAGGTGGACATCGTAGCCGCCTGAGCAGAGTACGATCTGCTTTTTAATCACTGTTCATTCTTCCTGCAACGTATCAAGGGGATTGCGCCATCCTTCCTGCCTTCTGCCAATCGCCGTAAAAAATCTCGAAGGGCTTCCACGCCACTCAGGCTAATTTGAGAATGAAGAACAGGTACATTCGATGCACCCTCATGCACCAGTGGGTGAGCGAAAGCCAGCGATGTTTCTGATCACAACGGGCCACACCAACTCCGTTGAGATTACGTGAGCAGCTTCTTGTAGCATTGATGGCTAATCTTTCAATCCAAACTTGAAGCGTAGTATTTACGGCATCGTTTTTACGGTAGTGACACCCGAATTCATGATACGAGCAGCTGGATTAAAAGACCTACATGATTTATATGTGGAAAGCACAAACATCAGGGTGCAAGTAGAATAAACTCCGATGCATGAACACTTTTGACTCTACCTTCTCTTGCTCGAGTCGCCTACACTTCCTGTGAAGACTTCCTTCGTCCTCTTCAAGCTTCCTCAACAAAGTCACACACCATGTGTCATTCACCAATGACCACGAGACAAAGATTCTTTCATTGCATTCGTTGTCTTCATCGCAATGTTTCAGTGGGCATTGATCAATGCTCTCAAGCTGCACGAGCAGCGTGGATCTCTTCCATAGTAGTGCGTACGCTTATGCTGGTACAGCTAGCTCTCCACGATGTGTACTCCAACTTCCCGCTATCTGTGGAGTATCGAGATTCGCGCTTATTCCTGAAGTATCTATTTACCGGCCTTGACCGTAGCCGTCTTCTTTCTTTGTTGCTCGATATGGGCATTCATCAACACCTTTCAGTGTAATGCACCCGCCGTCCCGTGATACTCAGCCAGGTTCAGAATAAAGCTATCTGACATCTTCAGATCACACGAATCAAGCAGATCGCCACGTCTTTTACCATTTCGGTGTCCATGCTATTCATCTTGGCGGCGGTGTTCGAGAGTTTGTTGCAATGTTTCTACACTTGTCATCCATCCACCCATTCGCTCGTACCGAATATCTGTCTCATGTTATGTAGAGCTACCCGCTTCAAACCGTGCGGGGTAGTCGAGCTCGCTCTATCCGAACTGCAAGTTGACGGCATCGTTTTTCACGGTAACTACACCTGAGCTGATTGGACGAATAGAACGTTTGAGTAGCAGTACGATTGGATGCACTACTGATTAGAGGTGGACATCGTAGCCGCCTGAGCAGAGTACGATCTGCTTTTTAATCACTGTTCATTCTTCCTTCAACGTATCAAGGGGATTGCGCCATCCTTCCTGCCTTCTGACAATCGCCGTAAAAATTCTCGAAGGGCATCCACGCCACTCAGGCTAATTTGAGAATGAAGAACAGGTACATTCGATGCACCCTCATGCGCCAGTGGGTGAGCGAAAGCCAGCGATGTTTCTGATCACAACGTGCCACACCAACTTCGTTGAGATTACGTGAGCAGCTTCTTGTAGTATTGATGGCTACTCTTTCAATGTAAACTTGAAGCGTAGTATTTACGGCATCGTTTTTACGGTAGTGACATCCGAATTCATGATACGAGCAGCTTGATTGAAAGACCTACATGATTTATGTGTGGAAAGCACATACATCAGGTGCAAGTAGAATAAACTCCGATGCATCAACACTTTTGACTCTACCCTCTCCTACTCGAGTCGCCTACATATCCTGTGTAGACTTCCTTCGTCCTCTTCAAGATTCCTCAACAGAGTCACATACCATGTGTCATTCACCGATGACCACGAGACAAAGATTCTTTCATTGCATTCGTTGTCTTCATCGCAATGTTTCAGTGGGCATTGATCAATACTCTCAAGCTGCACGAGCAGCGTGGATCTCTTCCACGTTAGTACGTGCGCTTATGCTGGTACAGCTAGCTCTCCACGATGTGTACTCCAACTTCCCGCTATCTGTGGAGTATCGAGATTCGCGCTTATTCCTGAAGTATCTATTTACCGGCCTTGACCGTAGCCGTCTTCTTTCTTCGTTTCTCTAGATGGGCATTCATCAACACCATTCAATTTAATGCACCCGCCGTCCCGTGATACTCATCCAGGTTCAGAATAAAGCTATCTGACATCTTTGGATCACACGGATCAAGCAGATCGCCACGTCTTTCTCCATTTCAGTGTCCATGCTATTCATCTTGGCGGCGGTGTTCGAGAGTTTGTTGCAATGTTTCTACACTTGTCATCCATCCACCCATTCGCTCGTACCGAATATCTGTCTCATGTTATGTAGAGCTACCCGCTTCAAACCGTGCGGGGTAGTCGATCTCGCTCTATCCGAACTGCAAGCTGACGGCATCGTTTTTCACGGTAACTACACCTGAGCTGATTAGACGAATAGAACGTTTGACGAGCAGTACGATTGGATGCACTAATGATTGGAGGTGGACATCGTAGCCGCCTGAGCAGAGTACGATCTGCTTTTTAATCACTGTTCATTCTTCCTGCAACGTATCAAGGGGATTGCGCCATCCTTCCTGCCTTCTGCCAATCGCCGTAAAAATTCTCGAAGGGCATCCACGCCACTCAGGCTAATTTGAGAATGAAGAACAGGTACATTCGATGCACCCTCATGCGCCAGTGGGTGAGCGAAAGCCAGCGATGTTTCTGATCACAACGTGCCACACCAACTTCGTTGAGATTACGTGAGCAGCTTCTTGTAGTATTGATGGCTACTCTTTCAATGTAAACTTGAAGCGTAGTATTTACGGCATCGTTTTTACGGTAGTGACATCCGAATTCATGATACGAGCAGCTTGATTGAAAGACCTACATGATTTATGTGTGGAAAGCACATACATCAGGGTGCAAGTAGAATAAACTCCGATGCATCAACACTTTTGACTCTACCCTCTCCTACTCGAGTCGCCTACATATCCTGTGTAGACTTCCTTCGTCCTCTTCAAGATTCCTCAACAGAGTCACATACCATGTGTCATTCACCGATGACCACGAGACAAAGATTCTTTCATTGCATTCGTTGTCTTCATCGCAATGTTTCAGTGGGCATTGATCAATACTCTCAAGCTGCACGAGCAGCGTGGATCTCTTCCACGTTAGTACGTGCGCTTATGCTGGTACAGCTAGCTCTCCACGATGTGTACTCCAACTTCCCGCTATCTGTGGAGTATCGAGATTCGCGCTTATTCCTGAAGTATCTATTTACCGGCCTTGACCGTAGCCGTCTTCTTTCTTCGTTTCTCTAGATGGGCATTCATCAACACCATTCAATTTAATGCACCCGCCGTCCCGTGATACTCAGCCAGGTTCTGAATAAAGCTATCTGACATCTTCGGATCACACGGATCAAGCAGATCGCCACGTCTTTCTCCATTTCGGTGTCCATGCTATTCATCTTGGCGGCGGTGTTCGAGAGTTTGTTGCAATGTTTCTACACTTGTCATCCATCCACCCATTCGCTCGTACCGAATATCTGTCTCATGTTATGTAGAGATACCCGCTTCAAACCGTGCGGGGTAGTCGATCTCGCTCTATCCGAACTGCAAGTTGACGGCATCGTTTTTCACGGTAACTACACCTGAGCTGATTGGACGAATAGAACGTTTGACGAGCAGTACGATTGGATGCACTACTGATTAGAGGTGGACATCGTAGCCGCCTGAGCAGAGTACGATCTGCTTTTTAATCACTGTTCATTCTTCCTTCAACGTATCAAGGGGATTGCGCCATCCTTCCTGCCTTCTGCCAATCGCCGTAAAAAATCTCGAAGGGCATCCACGCCACTCAGGCTAATTTGAGAATGAAGAACAGGTACATTCGATGCACCCTCATGCGCCAGTGGGTGAGCGAAAGCCAGCGATGTTTCTGATCACAACGTGCCACACCAACTTCGTTGAGATTACGTGAGCAGCTTCTTGTAGTATTGATGGCTACTCTTTCAATCCAAACTTGAAGCGTAGTATTTACGGCATCGTTTTTACGGTAGTGACATCCGAATTCATGATACGAGCAGCTTGATTGAAAGACCTACATGATTTATGTGTGGAAAGCACATACATCAGGTGCAAGTAGAATAAACTCCGATGAATCAACACTTTTGACTCTACCTTCTCCTACTCGAGTCGCCTACACTTCCTGTGAAGACTTCCTTCGTCCTCTTCAAGATTCCTCAACAGAGTCACATACCATGTGTCATTCACCGATGACCACGAGACAAAGATTCTTTCATTGCATTCGTTGTCTTCATCGCAATGTTTCAGTGGGCATTGATCAATACTCTCAAGCTGCACGAGCAGCGTGGATCTCTTCCACGTTAGTACGTGCGCTTATGCTGGTACAGCTAGCTCTCCACGATGTGTACTCCAACTTCCCGCTATCTGTGGAGTATCGAGATTCGCGCTCATTACTGAAGTATCTATTTACCGGCCTTGACCTTAGCCGTCTTCTTTCTTCGTTGCTCTAGATGGGCATTCATCAACACCTTTCAATGTAATGCACCCGCTGTCCCTTGATACTCAGCCAGGTTCAGAATAAAGCTATCTGACATCTTCGGATCACACGGATCAAGCAGATCGCCACGTCTTTTACCATTTCGGTGTCCATGCTATTCATCTTGGCGGCGGTGTTCGAGAGTTTGTTGCAATGTTTCTACACTTGTCATCCATCCACCCATTCTCTCGTACCGAATATCTGTCTCATGTTATGTAGAGATACCCGCTTCAAACCGTGCGGGGTAGTCGATCTCGCTCTATCCGAACTGCAAGCTGACGGCATCGTTTTTCACGGTAACTACACCTGAGCTGATTGGACGAATAGAACGTTTGACGAGCAGTACGATTGGATGCAAGAATCATTAGAGTTGGAAATCAAAGCCGTGTGAGCAGAGTACGATCTGCTTTTTTAATCACTGTTCATTCTTCCTGCAACGTATCAAGGGGATTGCGCCATCCTTCCCTCCTTCTGACAATCGCCGTAAAAAATCTCAAAGGGCATCCACGCCACTCAGGCTAATTTAAGAATGAAGAACAGGTACATTCGATGCACCCTCATGCGCCAGTGGGTGAGCGAAAGCCAGCGATGTTTCTGATCACAACGTGCCACACCAACTCCGTTGAGATTACGTGAGCAGCTTTTTGTAGCATTGATGGCTACTCTTCAATCCAAACTTGAAGCGTAGTATTTACGGCATCGTTTTTACGGTAGTGACATCCGAATTCATGATACGAGCAGCTTGATTGAAAGACCTACATGATTTATATGTGGAAAGCACA